GCAGGAGAGAGAGAGCGAAGGTTGCGACGGCACATTACCATCTGAGTAGGGGCAGAGTGAGTAGTGTTGGAGGAGAGCGAGAGTGAAAAGGATACGAAGTAGTGGTCAGAGACTTGGAGAGGAGTTGCAGTGAGATTAGTAGAAGAACAGCATCTAGTAAAGATTAGGTATTGCCTGCCTTGTGAGTAGGGGTGGACGGTGTGAGGGTGAGGTCAAAAGAAGAAAGGAGTGGAAAGGAGGAGGCAGAGAGAAATGAGTCAAAGGCAGACGTAGGGAGATTAACATCACCCAGAAATGTGAGGGGTGAGCCATCCTCAGGAAAGGAACTGATCAAGGCATCAAGCTCATTGATGAACTCTCCAAGGGAACCTGGAGGGCGATAAATGACACGGATGTTAAGCTTGAATGGGCTAGTGACTGTGACAGCATGGAAAATCTATTGCATAGTTAGTTTTGCATAATAAGTCTTGCATAGTTATTTTTGTTTTCGGTATGTTTCATTGAAAGTGGCTAATATTGGCAATTTCCACAGTAGAGGGGAACATTGATAGTGTAAACTAAAGGGGAAAACTAGAAAGTTGAGTAAAGTTCAATCGTATGCTTCTCTACACGGGCTGATATTTCTTCTGCAAGGGAGTCCCCGGGAAGCTGCGCGCCCGCCCGCAGCTTAGAGGGAACATTGCATAGAAGGTATCTACACTGCTCAAAAAAATAAAGGGAACACTTAAACAACACAATGTAACTCCAAGTCAATCACACCTCTGTGAAATCAAACTGTCCACTTAGGAAGCAACACTGATTGACAATACATTTCACATGCTGTTGTGCAAATGGGATAGACAACAGGTGGAAATTATAGGCAATTAGCAAGACACCCCCAATAAAGGAGTGGTTCTGCAGGTGGTGACCACAGACCTTCTCAGTTCCTATGCTTCCTGGCTGATGTTTTGGTCACTTTTGAATGCTGGCGGTGCTTTCACTCTAGTGGTAGCATGAGACGGAGTCTACAACCCACACAAGTGGCTCAGGTAGTGCAGCTCATCCAGGATGGCACATCAATGCGAGCTGTGGCAAGAAGGTTTGCTGTGTCTGTCAGCGTAGTTTCCAGAGCATGGAGGCGCTACCAGGAGACAGGCCAGTACATCAGGAGACGTGGAGGAGGCCGTAGGAGGGCAACAACCCAGCAGCAGGACCGCTACCTCCGCCTTTGTGCAAGGAGGAGCAGGAGGAGCACTGCCAGAGCCCTGCAAAATGACCTCCAGCATGTGCATGTGTCTGCTCAAACGGTCAGAAACAGACTCCATGAGGGTGGTATGAGGGCCCGACGTCCACAGGTGGGGGTTGTGCTTCCAGCCCAACACCGTGCAGGACGTTTGGCATTTGCCAGAGAACACCAAGATTGGCAAATTCGCCACTGGCGCCCTGTGCTCTTCACAGATGAAAGCAGGTTCACACTGAGCACATGTGACAGAGTCTGGAGACGCCGTGGAGAACGTTCTGCTGCCTGCAACATCCTCCAGCATGACCGGTTTGGTGGTGAGTCAGTCATGGTGTGGGGTGGCATTTCTTTGGGGGGCCGCACAGCCCTCCATGTGCTCGCCAGAGGTAGCCTGACTGCCATTAGGTACCGAGATGAGATCCTCAGACCCCTTGTGAGACCATATGCTGGTGCGGTTGGCCCTGGGTTCCTCCTAATGCAAGACAATGCTAGACCTCATGTGGCTGGAGTGTGTCAGCAGTTCCTGCAAGAGGAAGGCATTGATGCTATGGACTGGCCCGCCCGTTCCCCAGACCTGAATCCAATTGAGCACATCTGGGACATCATGTCTCGCTCCATCCACCAACGCCACGTTGCACCACAGACTGTCCAGGAGTTGGCGGATGCTTTAGTCCAGGTCTGGGAGGAGATCCCTCAGGAGACCATCCGCCACTTCATCAGGAGCATGCCCAGACGTTGTAGGGAGGTCATACAGGCACGTGGAGGCCACACACACTACTGAGCCTCATTTTGACTTGTTTTAAGGACATTACATCAAAGTTGGATCAGCCTGTAGTGTGGTTTTCCACTTTAATTTTGAGTGGGACTCCAAATCCAGACCTCCATGGGTTGATAAATTTGATTTCCATTGATAATTTTTGTGTGATTTTGTTGTCAGCACATTCAACTATGTAAAGAAAAAAGTATTTAATAACATTGTTTCATTCATTCAGATCTAGGATGTGTTATTTTAGTGTTCCCTTGATTTTTTTGAGCAGTGTATATCAAAAGGTAAAACGTATAGGAATTTGATTATATAATTATATATTATTTGTTCATATACCATGTTAATGATTAGACGTTGATTAATAATTATTCTCTGCTTCCTCTTAATAATTTCTCCATGTTTTTAGCTTGGGCAGTTTTCAACAAGCAGGCAGGCCAATGCAGAGCCCATCTGGCTCCAGATTGCACATGACGGCAATCACTGCCAGGCTCAACGGCATTTACCGTCGGGCTCTCATTGAAAATAATGACATCCGGTTTGCTGTCTACAGTCGTGGTCAAACGTTTTGAGAATGACACAAGTATTGTTCTTCACAAAGTTCGCTGCTTCAGTGTTATGAGAAATTTTTGTCAGATGTTACTATGGTATACTGAAATATAATTACGAGCATTCCATAAGTGTCAAAGGCTTTTATTGACAATTACATTAAGTTTATGCAAAGAATCAATGTTTGCAGTGTTGACCCTTCTTTTTCAAGACCTCTGCAATCCGCCCTGACTGATGGCAGCCCATTCTTGCATAATCAATGCTTGGAGTTTGTCAGAATTTGTGGGTTTCTGTTTGTCCACCCGCCTCTTGAGGATTGACCACAAGTTCTCAATGGGGTTAAGGTCTGGGAAGTTTCCTGGCCATGGACCCAAAATGTCTATGTTTTGTTCCCTGAGCCACTTAGTTATCACTTTTGCCTTATGGCAAGGTGCTCCATCATGCTGGAAAAGGCATTGTTCATCACCAAACTGTTCTTGGATGGTTGGGAGAAGTTGCTCTCGGAGGATGTGTTGGTACCATTCTTTATTCATGGCTGTGTTCTTAGGCTAAATTGTGAGTGAGCCTACTCCCTTGGCTGAGAAGCAACCCCACACATGAATGGTCTCAGGATGCTTTACTGTTGGCATGACACAGGACTGATGGTAGCACTCACCTTGTCTTCTCCGGACAAGGTGTTTTCCGGATGCCCCAAACAGTCGGATAGGGGATTCATCAGAGAAAATGACTTTACCCCAGCCCTCAGCAGTCCAATCCCTGTACCTGTATCAATTGTACCTGTATCAATTGGTAGAGCATGGCGCTTGTAACACCAGGGTAGTGGGTTCGATCCCCGGGACCACCCATACGTAAAAATTTATGCGCACATGACTGTAAGTCGCTTTGGATAAAAGCGTCTGCTAAATGGCATATTATTATTATTATTATTATTATATTATTTTGCAGAATATCAGTCTGTCCCTAAAGTCTTTCCTGGAGAGAAGTGGCTTCTTTGCTGCCCTTCTTGACACCAGGCCATCCTCCAAAAGTATTTGCCTCACTGTGCATGCAGATGCACTCACACCTGCCTGCTGCCATTCCTGAGCAAGCTCTGCACTGGTGGTGCCCCGATCCCGCAGCTGAATCAACTTTAGGAGACGGTCCTAGTGCTTGCTGGACTTTTTGGGCGCCCTGACGCCTTCTTCACAACAATTGAACCTCTCTCCTTGAAGTTCTTGATGATCTGATAAATGGTTGATTTAGGTGCAATCTTACTAGCAGCAATATCCTTGCCTGTGAAGCCATTTTTGTGCAAAGCAATGATGACGGCACGTGTTTCCTTGCAGGTAACCATGGTTAACAGAGGAAGAACAATGATTTCAAGCACTACCCTCCTTTTAAAGCTTCCAGTCTGTTATTCTAACTCAATCAGCATGACAGTGTGATCTCCAGCCTTGTCCTCGTCAACACTCTCACCTGTGTTAACGAGAGAATCACTGACATGATGGCAGCTGGTCCTTTTGTGGCAGGGCTGAAATGCAGTGGAAATGTTTTTTAGGGATTAAGTTCATTTTCATGGCAAAGAGGGACTTTGCAATTAATTGTAATTCATCTGATCACTCTTCATGACATTCTGGAGTATATGCAAATTGCCATCATCAAAACTGAGGCAGCAGACTTTGTGAAAATTAGTGTTTGTGTCATTCTCAAAACTTTTGACCACGACTGTACCTCGTGCCATCTAGACGCAGCATAAGTAACATAATAAAAAAAATCCCCATCAAAATCTGTCAGTTTAAACTAGAGATACAGTATCTAGCTTTTTGAACGGGCTGCATATCAATCCACCTTATCTCCCTATGTCGCCCTTCCATACCTGAGGTGGAAAGTGGCAGAGCTACAGCGCTGTTTGTCAGACCAGGAGACATTCCGAAAATTGGTCTTCTCACAAAAACGGCTGTAGCATCTGAACGGCCTACAAACTAATATGACCACCCTATAGAAAGGGGAGACTCTCATAAACACAGTGATATTCTCAGTTTTACACATGTTAAGTTTGCTGAAAATAAACGCAGTTGACAGTGAGAGGACGTTTCTTTTCTTTTCTTTTATTTTTTATATATATATATAATATTTCCTGAGCTTTCTTATATCTCCTAGATATAGGACAGACACTTCAAAACCGTATTCTTTATGATTCTTTTTTGACTGTCTGTTTTGCGATTTATGAATGTATTATTCTATGGGCTATAGTAGTAAAGGCCAAATTCAATATTTTATGAAATAAATTTTTTGGGGCCTACCTAAAGGGGTCCTAAAATTCAAAATCAAAAAGGTAAATGATCCATGACCTTCTTAAAACAATTCCATATGTCAGCTTAGAACCAATTGCCATTGCCTTTGTTTTTAAAACAATTTTTATTTAATTTTAGCCACTCATAATATTCAGATCTAGAGGGAGGGCAATACCTAATAAGCCAGTAGAAGTTGATGAGGTAACCATCTATGTCCCTAAAGGTAGACCACAGAGGGCCCTCTCCTCTGGAGATGGTTTAAGCAGGTAGGCCGCTGGCCAAAAATGGTTTTGCATGTGGACAGCCCAAACCTACAGTACATATTTCTGTTCCATACTTTTTTTGGCTTGTTCTACTCAAATGCAGTCTGGTATCCATGTTGAAGCTGGCGCTGTTAAACTTAAAAATCCATTCTGAGCAAACATGTGATTGGTGTATTCCAAAGTACGAATTATTAATGCAGAATTTCCAATTCTCACTGAAGTGCTTCCCAAAATGTGTTGGCACTGAGATCTAGAGGTCTCAAACAGCATCCACAATATAGGGGAAATTCTATCACATTGTACATGAAGTAGAACAACAAAGCCTGCCTAAAGTATACATGACATTTGAGCACTGGGTTTTCTACATAATTCAATAATGCTTTATGTAACCATGATATAATATGAAAGCTTTATCCGTATCATGGGTTCTTTGTTTGTTTACACCTAATGTGCACTTTGAACAAATAAATGTACTTCACCTTTTACAAGGCGTTAAACATTTGAAGTTAATTTTATCTTGCTTTGTATTTGTAAATATTATCCTCATCACAACTGGCATTTCTGAAATCAAAGCAGGCTTTGGAAGCAGGAGAAACAAGTTTGCTAAGACTTAAAAAGGGGGAAAGGTTGGAACTGCTATAAAAAGGGGCAGAAAAAGCATGCCTGAAATTTGGAACAATTCTAAGCAGCGTGAAGTAAGAGAGCGTACAGCCGTCTCAATGCAAACCTTGTTCCCTCCTGGACCTCATTGGTTAGACGAAAGGTTGAGAAGGAGGTGGGGAGGGATACTGAAGAAAGGTTAGGTTTGAGGAACAATATTCATTTCTCCCCCCCCCCCACCCCTGACCCTCCCATGTGACGAGTTGGGCCAACAAGCGTTCCATTGAGCGGGGCAGCCAGGGGAAATGACTGAGGCTGAACGCTGCCTAATGAAAGAGACGCTGGTTATTATTACCATCCTCCTCCTCCTGGCTGTCCTGGCCAGCTCTAGTGCAGTTAGCTAGCAGACTATGGGGATCTGGAGTTTCTCTGGCACCACACAGCTCTATTAAAAAAGCTGAAATAACAATGAGTTTGCTCCAACAAAATCTAAGTTCTTTAACTTCTTGAAGTGTATATCCCAACTCCCATTGTGATTTATGCTGTATTGTGAGTGCTTTGAGTGTATAGGATTTTATTCCCTTAGACCATATAGATAGATCTAGTACCAGTGTAGTGTACTCAAACCAAATCAATGAGAGAACCTACAAAATTGTTTAGGGGTAACGTCATCCTACACTCCGATCAATTGAGGGCTGAATATTGTGTGGGTGAGTTAGAGGCGTGAGATAAGGGATCCAGCCATGTGTATGGGCATTGAGCTACCTAGAGTACTTACAGGTGTGACTTTTGGATCTTGGGCTGTGTTGTTTTGCCTGTTGAGCTGAACAAACAGTTCTCTCCTCCACTAAATGGCCGTAATGGTGTTGGCATGTATCCACTTGCTTTCACTGTGCCTTGGTGGGGATCCAGATTGCATCATAGGGCCCGTCACACGCACAGCCACAGCCTGCTTTGTTTACCAGGGAGGAAGGGCGGCAGCCAAACAGGCAGGCACAGACATAGGGGCTCACCTTTACACACATGACTCAGTGATACAGTGACTACCAACAACATACAGTGCATTCAGAAAGTATTCAGACCCATTGACTTTTTCCACATTTTGTTACGTTACAGCCTTATTCTAAAATTGATTAAATTATTTATTTTCCTCATCAATCTACACACAATACCCCATAATAACAAAGTTAAAACAGGTTTTTTGAATTTTTTGCAAATATATATATTAAAAAAATATTTTAAATAAAACCTTATTTACATAAGTATTCAAACCCTTTGCAATGAGACTCAAAATTGGCCTCAGGTGCATCCTGTTTCCATTGATCATCCTTGAGATGTTTCTACAACTTGATTGGAGTCCACCTGTCGTAAATTAAATTGATTGGACATGATTTGGAAAGGCACACACCTGTCTATATAAAGGTCCCACCTAAGCCATGAGGTCGAAGGAATTGTCCGTAGAGCTCCGAGACAGGATTGTGTCGGCACAGATCTGGGGAAGGGTACCAAAAAATTGCATTGAAGGTCCCCAAGAACACAGTGGCCTCCATCGTTCTTAAATGGAAGACATTTGGAACTACCAAGACTCTTACTAGAGCTGGCTGCCCGGCCAAACTCAGCAATCGGGGGAGAAGGGCCTTGGTCAGGGAGGTGACCAAGAACCCGATGGTCACTCTGACAGAGCTCCACAGTTCTTCTGTGGAGATGGGAGGACCTTCCAGAAGGACAGCCATCTCTGCAGCACTCCACCAATCAGGCCTTTATGATAGAGTGGCCAGACTGAAGCCACTCCTCAGTAAAAGGCACATGACAGCCTGCTTGGAGTTTGCCAAAAGGCACCTAAAGGACTCTTAGACCATGAGAAACAAGATTCTCTGGTCTGATGAAACCAAGATTGAACTCTTTGGCCTGAAAGCGTCACGTCTGGAGGAAACCTGGTACCATTCCTACGGTGAAGCATGGTGGTGGCAGCATCATGCTGTGGGGATGTTTTTCAGCGGTAGGGAGTGGGAGACTAGTCAGGGTCGAGGGAAAGATGAATGGAGCAAAGTACAGAGAGATCCTTGATGAAAACCTGCTCCAGAGCGCTCAGGACCTCAGACTGGGGCGAAGGTTCACCTTCCAACAGGACAACGACCCTAAGCACACAGCCAAGACAACGCAGGAGTGGCTTCGGGACAAGTCTCTGAATGTCCTTGAGTGGCCCAGCCAGAGCCCAGACTTGAACCCGATCGAACATCTCTGGAGAGAACTGAAAATAGCTGTCAAGCTTATAGCGTCATACCCAAGAAGACTCGAGGCTGTAATCGCTGCCAAAGGTGCTTCAACAAAGTACTGAGTAAAGGGTCTGAATACTTATGTAAATGTGATATTTCTGTTTTTTTTTATAAATTTGCAAAAATGTCTAAACTGTTTTTGCTTTGTCATTATGGTCTATTGTGTGTAGATTGATGAGGGAAGAAAACAATTCAATCAATTTTAGAATAAGGCTGTAACGTAACAAAATGTGGAAAAGGTCAAGGGGTCTTTATATTTTCTGAATGCACTGTACCTTCATGCTCACTGGCTCCATGGTGGATTTGGAACATTATGATGCAGAGGGCTATACATGTATGTCAATGAAAATGTCATATGTCAAGCATCATGCACAACATGTTACAAATGTCAGACTGTGTTATCTGTATGTTATGGATGAGCCTATTTCTGTGTTTGGAGACCCAGGGAGACCAGTAAACCCCTGGTCTATCCTATCCTCTCTCTCCCATGTCTAAAGTCCCTCTGTGTGTTCCTCTTGTCTCTCCTACAGTCCAACAAGGTCCCAGTGGTGCAGCATGCTCACCACGTCCACCCACTGACCCCCCTCATCACCTACAGCAACGAACACTTCTCCCCCGGAACCCCTCCCTCACACCTCTCCCCGGAGATCCTTGACCCAAAGACAGGTACACACACAACCTCATGGAATATGATGTTGCTGCCTAGTATAGCCTCTGATCCAAAGCATTACATGGCTTGCATTAAACTTTAACTGAGGTATGTCTGACTTAATCATCGGTTAATTTCTTAGAGAAAATGACCTTGACTGTGACTAGTAAAATGACCTAAATGCTTAAGTTGTCCCCTCTGTGTTCCCTTCAGGCATTCCTCGGACTCCCCACCCATCAGAGCTCTCTCCGTACTACCCCCTGTCTCCAGGTGCAGTGGGACAGATCCCTCACCCTCTGGGCTGGCTGGTGCCACAGTGAGTAACACACAGCATTAAATAGTACAGTCCAAATCTCATATAGTATAGGAGAAACATTGACTACAGTCTGATGCATTTCTTGAACTTTAAAGCACATTCTGATGTAGTTTTAATATTAAAACACTGTCATATTTGAGATATGTATGATAAATACTTCACATTCTATGGGTTTTGTCATGGGTCTTGTAATCAATTTGAATGGTGCTGTTCCGCAAGCAGGGGATTGCAGTTGATGAGGGCTGGATTAGTGCTGCTGCGTTCTCTCTCAGCTGTGTCTGATCCTCTTCTCACTGGTGCCTCTCTCTCATTCTCAGGCAGGGCCAGCACATGTACTCTATCCCACCAGGGGGGTTCCGTCACCCCTATCCCGCCCTCGCAATGAATGCATCCATGTCCAGGTGAGTGGATCTCTCTGCTCTAGTGGTTATATTACACTCTGTAGTCATGTTTCTGATGTTGTCGTTGCTGATTTAGTTTATAACAGTATTAGGACAGGGGTATCCAACTATGGACAGTCAGTGGGGTAGGGACTATAAAGGAATGTGGGGGCTAAGTCTTCTAAAGATGAGATCTGACTTCCTTCCAAAGAGAAAGTGAACAGACTATTGGCATTCAAAACCCTACCCGGTAGACAGCACTGTCTTTTCCTGCTCAGGCCAATATTCTGAGTTTCTCTGCTACACACACACACAAAGATGAAAGGGCTAAGAATCGATTAGGACAAATCAAAGCTCATCTGAACCGACAACTCCCATCTGATTTAACTCTCTGCCCAACTGTCAAAATTGGAAAGATTTGTAGCGAGCCTTCCGGTGCTAGTATGGGATGAAATATTCATCAGGGTCTCAATGGGATCAATAGTACTCTCAGCTCCTGCCACATTGTTATAAAGTTTGTCTTACCGTCTGCCCCCCTTGAACAAGACTTGATAAGTGTGTCAGGTAATACTTGACAGTTTTGCCATAAATATATGATAATACTGTATGTACTGTATCTCGTACAGTATGTAGCTAAATGTCTGCTTGACATTTTATGTTTTATATTTTCCTTTTCCTCATAGTTTATTTGGGCTGCTGGGATGGTAATGAGATGATAGTTTAAGTCAAAAAATATTGGTGAGATTAGTTTAATTACATTTCCCCTATTGGGTTGTCCTCAATTTGACTTGTTACTGTTATAGGGATACTTCAGGATTTTGGCAATGAAGTCCTTTATCTACTTCCCTGGAGTCAGATGAACTTGTGGATACCATTTTTATGTCTGGGTGCAGTTTGATGGAAGTTGCTAACTACCGTTAGCGCAATTGCTAACTAGCATTAGCGCAATGACTGGAAGTCTATGGGAACAGCTTGCGAAACTACCTCTAACTTCCTTCATACTGGACACAGAGACATAAAAATGGTATCCACAAGTTCACCTGACTCTGGGGAAGTAAAGCAAGAAAAGAGTCTGTGCACACTCACAAACTTACAGTACAAGGCTATAGTATATTTTGGACTTTCATGGACCATATCTGTCTTAAATGTTATGAGATTTTTATGAAGCATTAAAGGTTTTGCCATTCAATCATGCATTTAACAGGAATGCATGGCAGAGGAGCATGGACCTTAATTTTCCCCTTTGTCCATGTACAATGTACCATTGTGTTGTGTTAGCACCACTCTCATTTTCCGACAGCTATCTGAATGTGTTCTGTTCTGGTAGCTGTGGAAGGCCCTCCATGGTTTGGAACACAGGGAGGAAAGTGGTTTCAGGTGTCAGGGCCCCTTGGTCACCATGGTTACCACACACTCCACTTTTCTCCAGGCATGGTCGGATAAAGGGGCTTTTGAAGAAGCCTTTATTTGAACAAAAAACTAAATATGTAGCTAATTTTGGACATTACTTTAGTCTAGACTCCAGACAGACGGTCAAAGCAGTTGAAGTTGACTTGACAGGGCAGACAGAAAGTGCCTGTGAAAGTTTAACAGTTGGTGTTGTTTGTCTTTGTTGTTTTCCAGCTTGGTGTCTAGCCGTTTCTCCCCCCACATGATGCCCCACCACCCCCATGGCATGCACCAGACTGGCATCCCTCATCCTGCTATCGTATCACCAGCCATCAAGCAGGAGCCCAACAGTCATGACCACATGAGCCCCTCTATGCATTCGTAAGGACCATTAACTAACAGATTCTTCATATTTACTTATAGACAAAAATATAAACTCTTCATACTCTGATCTTATTCAAATTGATTATTGACTGAGTATCCAGTCTCTATTTATAATTCCATTTAGAGGGCCAGGATTCAAGAATATCCAGTCTCTTTGTAACAGGTCAGCCAGGTCTTCTGGAAGGGAATCAGACCTCACACACAAGGACTATTTTAAGTGACATTTGCAATGTGTGTTTTGTTGTCTCAGCAGGAAGTCTCCTGGCCCGGTGAAGAAGGAGGAGGACAAAAAGCCCCACATCAAGAAGCCTCTGAATGCCTTCATGCTGTACATGAAGGAGATGAGGGCCAAGGTAGTGGCTGAGTGCACCCTGAAGGAGAGCGCTGCCATCAACCAGATACTGGGCCGAAGGGTGAGCACAGCACACTGCCTGACCACACACACAACAGTTTGGGGATGTGTTTGTGGACGTAAATTCTGTACATGCTTCGACTTGTTCTCTGACTTTTGTCATGTTTGTGTTCACAGTGGCACTCACTATCGAGAGAAGAGCAAGCCAAATACTATGAGCTGGCAAGGAAAGAGAGGCAACTCCACTCCCAACTCTACCCAGGCTGGTCAGCACGAGATAACTATGTGAGTAGGACATTTTTCCATGGATCTTTTAACAATGAGGGAAATGTGGGTTGCTTAAGCGCCCCCTCATTTCCACTTGGTTTAAAAATGATTCCATACTGTATCTGTAATAATAACTGTACTTTTGTTCTCATACACTGAAGTTGTATGAGGTAGTGTTGAAGCATGTTGCTGTCACTTGGATAGTGACCAGTTTTTTCTAAATACATTGTTTTGTTATCTGTGCAGGGAAAGCGGAAAAAGAGGAAGAGAGATAATAAGCCAGACTCAACACCAGAGGGTAAGGGGCCCTTTTCTCTCTCTGTTCTTCTTGGATCTTTCCTCTCTATTTAGGGCAAAAAGAACTCCATCTATAGGCCTGTGTGAAATAGTGCCTCAAGCTTCACTTGGCTTGTCATGTGACTTGACAGTGGTCCAATACAACATGCAATACGCAAAATAACACCTTTTTATGTTTTGACTTGAGTTTTTCCTTCTTTACTATCTCCTTATTAACTCCTCTCTTCCCTCTATAATTTGACAAGCAGCATATGAGGTTCAGTGCTAATAGTGACGTTGTGGCAGGTATGTCTGCTGTTATGAACCAGTGTGGCTGAACTGCAGGTCACTGCTCTCCACTCCACCCACAGTGTTCTGGTCTGTTGCAGCACAGCACTCAAACCACATTTACATGCAGGCATTTAACGTGTCATCGACTTTGTTTATATGATATCACAGAGTTTTTTTCCACCCGATTGTTTTGTTTTGTTTTATTTATAAAAGTGTATGCCATTTTGTTGTTAATTTCACTTCAGCAATTTAGACTATTTTTTAATACATTAATTCAAAGTTGATCTGTTTGTCCCAGACCTTTTGGTTTTCCATGTTCTGTACATTGTCTGTGAATGTTTTGTATTTTTTGGCCAGCTATCATGTATGCAAGGGAACGGGCACTGTTGAAGGACACGATTTTAGGCTTCTTTAACAGCAATATTGACAAAGCCCCCTCCTTTTGTTTCCCCAGACTTCTCAATCAGGAACAAGAAGCAGTGTGTGCAGTACCTGCCCTCAGAGAAGATGTGTGAAAGCCCTGCCTCGTCTCACGGCAGCATGCTGGATTCTCCAGCCACACCCTCTGCAGCTCTGGCCTCCCCAGCTGCGCCTGCTGCCACCCACTCAGAGCAAGCCCAGCCCCTGTCCCTCACCACCAAACCAGAGGGACGCCTGCACCATCATTTCCTAACTGGCAAGCCCTCTGGATCCGCTTCTTCTTCATCATCTTCATCCTCTTCCTCTTCCTCCTCGTCCCACCCAAGCATCTCTATCCCTATTGGTACTTCAGGCAGCCACTCCAGTCACTCCGCACCAATTTTCTCTCGGCCAATCCCCTTCAGCTCCCTACACCACTCGATGCTCTCCCCGCCCTCTCCTTTCCATCAAGCAGCCCTACATTCCCATCACGCCCTGTTCCAGTCGCAGCCCCTCTCCTTGGTAACCAAATCGTCTGACTAAATCTACAAAAGCAATTATTTTCTCTTTTATTGTGCTGTATATTGCTTTTACTTTTCAAAAAATAGATATTAGAACAACTTTTTTTTTAATGATGAAAAGGAAGAAATATTATTGGTCAATATTTGATCCCCTCCTTTCCTACTCTCAATGAAACAAAATTTATTTTTTTGTAAAGTTTACTGCAGAACTGGTTTCTCTTTTTGATGCATTTATCCAATGAACTAGTTGTATAAAATAACCCATGTATAAAATGTTTCTTTAAGAAAAAACAAGGAAAATAAAAAACACCCTCTCCTTTTAACCAAAACCTGATTTAATGTTAGTATTGAGTTTAATTAATAGTTTTTGCCAATTATTTCAGTAATTTCAACGATCCCTTTTAAATTCCCAAGCGTGTGACCTTCCTTTGACATGTTAAATAAACCTTTGAGATTGTTTCTTAGAAATGCCTGGTTCTCTTTTCTTCCATGCGCTCTGCAAGAGGAGTGTTACTTTCATCACTCCCTGATCATGCACATTCATTTGAATATGAATCAATAACATAATTGTTACATTATATGAATTTTGAAGCAATGTACACATTTCCTACAGATTCAAACCATGTAGATGTAAATACAGGTGCAGATGCTAAGTTGGAAGGAGCCTATTTGCTGGGAGTTTTAGAACTTATCAACAGCTGATGGAGATACTATGAAGTTCTTCAAGATAAATATTGGAAGTGGGCATTCATTGGTTAGTGACAGATATGTTGTATTTTTGGCACTTTAGTTGTTGATAATAAATATATCATGACGGTAGTGGGGGAAGAATCAATAGTTAATCTTTAATAGGGTGAATTTAGGCTAACCACACTGGAAAATGAGAACCTGTGCCAAATTATAGACTTCCTGGAATGTAGAGTCCCATAACAACGACAAACAAGCAGGTCAGCCTCCTCTCCAGCACACCAAACCCCTTTCCCTCTCCCTGTTCCTCGCACAGTTTTACTGCATCTTTATTCACCATTTGGCACAGTGCTGAGGCTTTAATTAACTCAGAGGTAATGGGATGTAGCCCCTGGGACCTAATTAGGCTATTCAGTTAGTGAAAAATACACAAGGTAGGTTACAGTTTTTGGTGGCTTTGGAGATGAGGACAAGTGCCAGGGATGGTCCAATTAGCCTCTAGCTGTGGTACTAGCCTGGAAGAGCACATTGAAGTTCCTTCGCCGTATGACTCTGTATGTTATACAGCTTACCTTGTCCTTATCCACACCTCTCATAAAGAAGGGAGAGAGGAGAGCTACTGTTAGATTGTCATTGAGATAATTGGTAGTTTGGGTATTCTAAAAATCAAATGGAAGTAAGCAATTAGTCATTGTATTCCTGCAACATCCAGATGGTAGGAGACTGACCAGTCTTCCAGTCCCAAATCCACTCCTTTGGTTTCCCCAGGGTATCCCCTCCTGTGTAACACTAATAATGGTTGACAACATGCACACTCATTTGCTTACCATGCTCAGTATCCTTATCAGCTCTGATTGAAAGGCTATGAACATACATAATAGCCTAGTTATGATGGAGCAGAGTAAACAAATATGGCTCTGTACACAAAATGATGAGTTTTATTCTAATTCTATATGTATGCAACCAATACCAATAGCTGTCATTCATTAGTATTGTCCATAATCAATAACTTGAACCATTTCCTCAACACAGTTGTAGGACAATGCCCTCAGACAAGGGCGTCTCTCTCTCGCTCTCTCTCAGACAGGGTTCTTTATGGCATGAACTGCGAGTGACAGACTGATGGACATGTGCACACAGAGGATTTGTTTCCTTTTTTGCCCTGCGGTGAGATACTGAGATGTCAGTCTCCAAGCAATGTTTTAACTAATCATTAGCTATAATAAGTCTCTGCTTGTTTTCCTCTGTCTTACATCATCACAGGCAGAGGCCGTGGTCTCTGGTGCCATGCCTGCCTGCCCTCAGCTACTTCTCCATTCCATCACTGAAATTACAGGTAATGAGTTGTCAAAAACAGCCGATAAAACTGGCTCCTCAAGGCTACACATCTATTGTAATGTTGCATTCTCTATAGTCAGTAACCCATTATAAAACTGAGAGACTCCAGGTGAATGACTTAAAATATGTTGGCTATTCCAGGCTGGCTTCAAGCCATGTAAAGCTGCTTCAAGACATGGCTGCGTCAAGCAATGTCAATGAATTTCAGTCAATATCCATCTTGTTTCAAAATTATCGTAGGAATACAGGTTCACAATTTGTGATGAGGCAATAGTATTAGATGTTGTTCTTGTTTCATACACTATATATACAAAAGTATGTGGACACCCCTTCAAATTAGTGGATTTGGCTATTTCAGCCACACCCATTGCTGACAGGTATATAAAATCGAGCACACAGCCATGCAATCTCCATAGACAAACATTGGCAGTATAATGGCCTTACTGAAGAGCTCAGTGACTTTCAACGTGGAACCGTCATAGGATGCCACCTTTCCAACAAGACCACCGAGTGCTGAAGTGCGTAGGACATAAAAATCATCTGTCCTCGGTTGCAACACTCACTACTGAGTTCCAAACTGCCTCTGGAAGCAACGTTAGCACAATAACTGTTCGTCAGGAGCTTCATGAAATGGTTTTCCATGGCCGAGCAGCCGCACACAAGCCTAAAATCACCATGCGCAATGCCCAGTGTCTACTGGGGCCAGTATGAAAAATGTATGCACTCACTAATTGTAAGTCGCTCTGGATAAGAGCGTCTGCTAAATGACTAAAATGTCAAAAAGAAAATGTGTAAAGCTCGTCGCCTTTGGACTCTGGAGCAGTGGAAACGTGTTCTCTGGAGTAATGAGTCACGCTTCACCGTATGGCAGTCCGACGGACGAATCTGGGTTTGGTGGATGCCAGGAGAACACTACCTGCCCAATTGCCTAGTGCCAACTGTAAAGTTGGGTGGTGGAGGAATAATGGTCTGAGGCTGTTTTTCATGGTTCGGGCTAGGCCCCTTAGTTCCAATGAAGATAAATCTTAATGCCACAGCATACAATGACATTCTAGAGGATTCTGTGCTTCCAAATATGTGGTAATAGTTTGGGGAAGGCCCTTTCCTGTTCAGCATGACAATGCCCCCGTGCACAAAGCGAGGCCATACAGAAATGGTTTGTCGAGATTGGTGTGGAAGAACTTGACTGGCCTGCACAGAGCACTGACCTCAACCCCATCGAACACCTTTGGGATGAATTGGAACGTCGTCTATGAGCCAGGCCTAATCGCCCAACATCAGTGCCCAACCTCACTAATGCTTGTGGCTGAATCCCCGCATCATATTCCAACATCTAGTGGAAAGCCTTCCCAGAAGAGTGGAGGCTGTTATAACAGCAAAGGGGGGACCAACTCCATATTAATGCCCATGATTTTGGAATGAGATGTTTGACAAGCAGCTGTCCACATACTTCTGGTCATGTAGTGTACGTAGCTGCAATGTATCAAATTCATATATGAACAAATTCTATCCTTTTTGTTGCTTCCTACATAAAGGCTAGATGCTGAATTTACTTTTCTTGATATTAGTATTTTAGGTTTAATTTGCACAACATTGTGACGTCTGAATCGTTAGCCCCTCGTTGATTAACTATAATAGAGTGATAATTAAATCTTATGATGTAACTAAAAATGTAGCAATAGCATTCTACCTATAAACATTTTCCTGATCCCATTTGAAAATAACAGATATTGGTACTGTATGTCAACTGTTGTTTATTGAAAGAGGGGGGTTACTGTCACCCATTGTAAGTGTGCATCCCTAGCCCTTACTCGTCACTGTTTATCCAATAGTAAGTAATGTATTTGGTTGCCTCTACTAGACATCTGCCATGTGCACAAGGTCAGATTTAATACATGTTAATTTTGCTCATTAATTTCTTGCAGTCTCTTGTCAAGGTTCTTTTTTGGGCCCTCCTTTGATCTCAAATTCATTCCAGGTTAACTCTTTGATATTTCAAATGCATGACGTGGAGACATTGCATAGACACGTCTCCACTTTAGAGACCAAAATAAGTCCCCCATTAGACAGAGGAGTTAATACGATTCCTCTCAGGTTAGAATATCTGTGGTTAATTCTTAGAGATAAACCATACTATTGGATTATAGAGAAGGATCCATTCAGATTGGCATTCAGGTGACACTGTAACATCCTGTTATTATATGCAGGTAGCATTCTGTCAAAAGGACATAAAATCCTAGGAGTGGCTTATAGGCTACAATATTCAGGTCTGGATAGCATGTATGAGCCATAATAACAGTCAGGATGAGTAAGTATTTACTGACTTACTGCAAATTGAGATTATGTGACTAAACTCAACAAAAAGAAGAAGAAACTGTATTATGAAGCCAAGATCAATGATATAAAGAATGATGGAAAAAAACTTTGGAGTACTTGAAATGAAATTATGGGCAGAAAGACTAATTCAACTCCATCTTTCATTGAATCAGATGGCTTATTCATCACAAAACCATTTGATGTTGCCAATTATTTTAATGATTACATCATTGGCAAAGTGGGCAAACTTAGGCAGGAAATACCAACAACGAACAGTGAGCCATCGTATTCATGCATAAAAAAATGAATAATGAAAGAAAAGCATTGCAAGATTGTATTTTGTAAAGTTCACTAACTTCAACATTTTGTGGGAGAGATGGATTTTTTTTTGTTATCGATCAATAATGACAAACCTCCTAGCATTGACAACTTAGATGGAAAGCTACTGAGGATAGTAGCTGACTCTATAGCCACTCCTATCTGTCATATCTTTAATTTGACCAAATACAATGCTATTTCTCTGTAAACAAATTAACAACAGACTTTCAGCATGCTTATAGAGAAGGGCACTCAACATGTACTGCACTGACACAAATGACTGATGATTGGTTGAAAGAAATTGATAATAATAAGATTGTGGGAGCTGTATTATGGCTTTTCAACCTCTGCCATATCGTGGAT